ACCGAACGTTTAGCAGCGATATGTTAAAGAAGTCATTTGTAGGTGTTAAAAGTATAACCACTGATATTGCGACATTGCCTAAGAGGAAACGTTCGTGCTTGAAGAATAAAAAATGTTGGTATTATTATCCCCGCCAACATGTTTTTCCTAAAATTCATTACTTTTTGCAAATTTGCTAATGGTGTATATATTTTATTTTTAATATCAATGAAAAAAATAAACGAGACGATTTCATTTGTTTCCCCCGTTTTTCGCGGACATTTTTAAGCACTTTAAGGATTTAACTACAAATTTTCATTAACATTCATTTTCATTCAACATTAACTTTACCTCTGGTGTTCTTTCATTGCAAGAATGTTTAAATATACATATGTATGTATATCTCACAATATTCTTTAATCGTGAAAGTAATGTTATTCAAGTACCATTTTTGCCCTCGCAGTTTAAAAATGTATTGTAGTTTTCATTAATCCCAATTTTTCCTTAAGATTCCATAAAGAAAATCCAACAGAACAAAACTGAGTAATTAGAAAGGTATTAGACTATTTCAGATTCCATATTCATACATCCTCGCAAGATTTTCGTATAAATATTCAACGTTACAACGCCCAATCGTAAAAACTTTGATCTCGAACAGCCGTCCAGGAAAATGTAAATTTTTGTATCTCTGAAAAATACTGATCCGATAAAAATGCAAACCGTATCCTTGAATAAACCTTATGCACGTGGCAAACGAAGCGTAACGCGAGCACCGCACAGGGTGTGCCATTTTCTTTTCGCATATGGTTCGAGCAAAGCGTTCCGAGCGAAAATTCGTTCGAAGAACAGAAAAAGAACGTTCCGCAACGGAAGCGATATCTTGATTAGGTGGAACGTCTTTATGATTGCGAATTGACCTTTGTTTTCCATTTCAATGGAACCGTTTGAAATGGAACTCCGTGACGAGTTCATTGGCGTAGGGTCTCCTGAGGTCGTTCAGGATCAATTGCGATCGTTCGACGTTTGACTTCGCCAGACGACCAGAAAATCTTATCTTTTCCTCGCATTAGCTCACTCCATCTCTGAATGATAATTTCACGTCTCTGAAGATTAATTTACTAAGCTTTATCTGTCACGGATTTCTGGAAGAAAATGCGCGGAATGCTGAAATTCGAGAACGGAGAGGAACGTCACTTCCTGATGTTACAGCCAGAAAACGCGTCGTCGATCTTTCTTCGAACGTTTATATTCGTAGCATCGAAGCGATTCATTCATCATTTTTGTGAGAGGATTTTTATAGACACAATACGTTTTTGTAATAATGTATTAACCTTTTGCACTCGAGAAGCGCCTTTCAGTCGCCATTTAAGTACACCCAGCGAAATGCTAACGTTCTAAATACAATATTAAATTTTATATAACCTATTAACGCATGTAACGTGGAAATAAAGTAATTCTGCACCTCAATTTATGCAATATACATCTTTCTATTAGTTGCAAACAGTACTATTTTCTTAAAAAAAATTATGAACATTAGGGAGAAATATTCCTGAGTGCGAAAGATTAACCCTTAACGGAGCGATGCCGCCAAGATGGCGGCATGGGACTTGCTGAATCCAATGCCGCCAATATGGCGGTAGGCATCATTTTATTGTTTTGATCACTGTTATTGTTGTAATATTTACAATTAACATTAAGTATTGTGCTAGGTCACTTCTGCGTGTCCGTGTCTGCTTGTTATCTATGTTACAGTAGTTTTTCGCGTTTTTCAATAGAATTTGATATAAATATTACTCAATTACTTTGAATTATAATTAGATATTATTCTTCTGTTATCAATGATTATATTGCAGGGCAAACGTAGACATAGAATATGCACAGATTTTTTTCTTTTTTCAATAATTATTAGTGATGAAGTTGTATCGATCACAGTTGGAAAATAAATCATAGGGAAAAGGGTTAAGGGTTAATATAACGTGACACAACGATAAAAAAAGAAATAGAATATTGAGTACTTGTAAATTATAATTTCCAACTTCCGACGTCTCACAGGCAATTCAGTGTATATCTTTAGAATAATGGCACGAAGTTGGAAATGGTATTTCATTTGATAATAAACTCGTTTAGAACAGTTGTAGCGTTGATCTACAGTATAATGGCACGAAGGTTCTCAGTTTTCTCAGTGTTTGATCGTGACAACTGTATCTTTCATTCGTAAGTTACGTGTCCGAACCGGTTGCATCATTTTACACGCGAATGTCTTCTAGAAAACTTGAAAATACGGAACAATTAAGTGATCATCCGCAATGTCACATTGAAAACTTCAACCTCTTACTCTGGAAAAACGTACCACGCACGTCCAGACGTTTTTGTTCCAAAATTGTCATTGATAATCTCATTGCATTACGCATATTAGATTGTTTCGAAATGTAACTCTGCACAAAATTATTAACCCTTTGCACTCGAAAGATTTCCACTGGAAATACTCAACATTTTCCGATGAGACATAGATGACATTGTTTGAAACTAATTTAACAATTCACAGATAAATTAAACAACAAAGCTATCCATTTAAATATTTCTCATAACAACACAAAGTTCACTTTAAAATACTAAATATTCAACTTCATAGTTTTGTTGTATTAACACTGGAACTACCAGATGGGTTAAAATGTCTTATATTTCATTTCTTTTTTTAAAATTACTGAAACGCTACAGATACTTCTACGAATAATTAACAAGACCAGTTCAGTAATAGCAAAACTGAAGTACAACTCAATTGAAATGTCAGTAAACGTACGCTTATGGTTTTTATAAAGAAACTTGTAAATGTCATTTTAAGTGATCGATAGTTCACAAATCAAGAGTCACCGCTTGATTTAACACTAGATCCTCTCGAGTGCAAAGGGTTAATACACAAAATTGGTGCACACGTCTGCGTAAAATGAGCAAAAACCAAACTCTTCGCGTGAGACCTTGCCAAATCTCTGCATTCATTTCCAGCGCATGTGGTTAAATACCGGTGATGTTTTATTGCTCGCAGGCAGTCTATATTCCTCGATCAATAATAGACGTCGTAACGATCTACAGATTCGTCGTTCTCGAAAGCGACTTCCTGTCGGTACCACTCACGGAACCGTCACCGCAGTTCGTCATCAGTTCGTGTTTGATCAAGGGAAACATGATACGAAAATTCGTGCAATGTCATGTTAATAACATGGTAACAGCAGATCGCTGCGTAGTGCAACAATTTCACGCCAATCGGATGTAGATACGAGGATTCCAGTTGTTGTTACTAGCTTTGCGACCTTCGATAAGGGTTGCTTTAGAGTTCTAACCCTCTAACTTCAATGGATCTAACGGTCATAACTGTAATTATCGCTGAAAACGTGTACAATCATAGGAGACTTTAAACATTTCGTTTAAGATTTCATTAATTTCGTTATCTAATTATAGAAACGTCAATTATTTTCTATTATCTGCTTGGAATTCATACATTTAGGGATTAATTCGATGTCCTATTTAACACTAGAACTACCGAGCACTTAAACTGACTTTCGAACATTTCTTTGTGAATACTACAAACGTGGATTTATGAAGATTTCAATTGGCTCATATTTCAGTTCAGGTATTACTAAATCAGCTTCATTAATCATTTTTCAAAGAAGTATCTTTTTTTTTGACTCTCCTGGTAGTTCAAGTGTTAATCGATTACGAATTTCTTATACTTCGTGCAAACGATTCTCTTCCGCAAGATGCGGTATAAATTTATATTTCAATTGTCTCGATGATAAGTTTCATTGGGTTGTATGGTTAAATTAAAACTGAATCGTTATCTTATAACTGGTACTATTTTGAGAAGTTCGGGATCGAAGAATTGCAAACAGTTTTGGGGAAAAGTCTTGGTTTTATTTAAATTAACGCGAAATTTTCAGACTTTGGTGCGATGTAAGGTGTTATTGAGGAGACAGTAAAACACAATTCACACCCACGTTTTGCGTTCGCGGAAAGGTCAAAATCTGATATTTATTCGTATCTTTATACAGCGCGCTTGTACGATGTACTTTTTAGAGTCACGCGTCGGCGGTACGATGCTCCAGTTAATAATGCAATCTCTAAATTCCGTTTTTCTACTGTTCCAATCGAAAGTCGGATGTCGCTCGTCTACTGTTGTATGCCGCGCGCCGAAAATGCTCCAAAAATGCTTAAATGCCGTCCGCCGCGTCTGTCTGTTTTACCGGGGTTATATACCCGGTTCAAGACAGAGAACCGCGGACGGACAAATCAATTAAAAACGTGGTGACGAAGTCGCTACACTGACAATTCCACCTATAAATTTCACGTTTCTTTTTTTTTAGTATTTAATAGGTCAGAAAACGATCGCGTGTAAATATTGAAAGAAACACCGTGTATATACTTTTCCCACTGTAATTGCTTAATTCCATTTGCATGTTAAGAAGGTACGATTATTTTGATGTCATGTTCATGTCCTTGATAATGCTCTCTCTATCGTTCCTCGCGTGCATGAAAGACATAACCTAAATGCGAATAAACATTTTAAATTGGAAGAATTGCTTCGAAATTGAGCTCGAGTAAATCAATCTTACTTAACCGTATAAATTTATGTGTCCTTACTTGAAGGACTTCGATTAACGTGTTTTAACCCTTTGCACCCGAAAGTTCTCTCGTTGGATACATTCGCAATTTTCTAATGAAATAATGATACCTTTTATGACTAACATAAATGGAAACAATATAAATGGTAATAAATTCTATTTCAGTATTTCATTTACAGTTGCACTATATGAAATTTGACATTGAATATCAAACTTTATAAGTATATTCAAACTTTAGAGTCGCCTTTCGAGTGCAAAGTCTTTAAGTACTTATATTGTTCTCTTAGTTTTCGATAGGATATATGGGATATAGATATGTTATACAAACTTCCATTTTAAACATTCGTAGTATAATTAAATATATTTAAATATATTGAAACATGAGAGTCTGTTTTAATTTTTCAGGGAGGAAGCAATGCTGGGCATACCGTAGTTGTAGACGGTTCAGAATTTCACTTCCACCTTTTGCCCAGTGGGATAATCAATGCCAAGTGCACGTCACTCATAGGTAAGTATATTTCTATCCCGACAATTTATGCACCATAAAAATGTTGACACGTTAAAAATGGTCCCGGCCGTGATTTTGTAAGAATTATTTTTAGGAAACATTCAAATGACTCGAATCTCCTATGAATTCTAATACTTCACCTAGGAAAATCTTAATGCTCGCTTAGTTATCACGCACCACTGTGTTCCGGTGACCATTTTTACCTTTCAATTCTTCTGGTTAGTTTTTATGGTACTTTGTTCCGTACAATCGTTTAACTCTGCGCAGAACAATAAATACTATAGAATGCGTGCGAACGTTAAAGCGTACGGTACTTTATCATGACCTTCGTTTACATTATCTTCAATTCTTTCGATGACTTCATCGCCACTCATAACGTGAACTTTAATATTTTTATGACAAACGTTAATCCGTCCTGTTGTATCGTTTGCATTGGAGTTTTATAGCTTTCTGAACTGTTGAGAATCGTAAAAATTCTTTTAAAGTTGTCTGTGACACGCATCTTATCGTCACCATCACGAATTTCAGTTTTCAATTGTAATTTACCGTTGCTTAACCCTTTTCACTCCAAATTCCTTTCGCAGTTTTTTTCCCGATAATTCTGTATTATTAGAAATGTTTCATTTGAAGTGCACTTTGGAAAATAGTTAGTTTGTAGAAAGCAGTGTAACCTATTTTTTTTTATTAATAATATTGAAAACGGCATAACAATATATTGTATTTGAAAAATATCTTCACCGAAAAGCACACCTGTGAATAAAAATCGGGGCGCAAAGGGTTAAACATAATGAATATTTCTCTTTCAATATTTTCATACTTTAACAATAATTTAGAGATAAGTTCGTTTTTCTGACCTTTTGATTCCAGAAATAAATGCGTTCCTACTCGAACTGTTTTTTAATCAAATATTTTCTTCATTGGAAACTTATCGTCAAACTGTAAAAAATATTTATTTACGGGCATATTTTATAGATTATAATGAAATGAGAATACGCAAACCCTGAAAGTACGACGCAAATAATTCATTAATTATCGATCGCACAGCATTACTTCATCATTTTTTTTTTGTGTGTATAGGTGTGTCAAGTACGCGTTAATGTTTTTTTAATTAGAGGTGCGCAAACAAAACTTCTGCTGCGTCCTGTTAGATGTACAATGATGAATAATGGTATTCGTACAGTGAGGAAATTAAAATGGAAATTCTTCTAAATGAATAATTTTGGCGCAATGAATTTTGCATGATATTTATAGTAACATTTAATTATAAAAAATAAACAATGTATTATGTATTATGTTATTATATATTATTTCTATGCAAATCATTTAATATATCATGTATAATCCATACACCAATGCGAATACCGTTACTTACACTAGGAAAATTAAATTATTCATATACAGACTAAGATTACTTTTCTCTGATTTTTCTCACTGTACAGATACTTGAATTTTCATCCATCATTGCACTTGAATTTTACAATAATTCTCCCGTCATCGTCTTGTACACGGTGAGAGGGAAATAACTGGAAGAAACGTTGTCTTAACTTAAAAAGTAGAAGCTCTGTATTCAGCTAGTTTCTCAGACGACTCGGAGAATCTAAAAGAACGTTTCCGCTAGAAAGTTGAGATTAAATTGTAACACACGTTTGATACGACGCAATCAAAATACTAAAAATAGATGAAAGGCGTTTATTCTTTAATAAATGTATATACAACAATACGCCTTTGCGGCGAGGGTGACTAAATTATAATGCGGCTTACTTAATAAATACCAATAAAAAAGAAATAAAATGAAACAATAGAAAGAGAAACAAAATAGTACAATAAAGGAGAAACAAAAGATAAATAAGTTAACAATAAATGAATAAACATGGTTTATTATCTAGTGACTAAAATGTTCTATAAATAACTTTTCTCGCAGTTCCGGAGCATTACCATGTTGTCGCCTCCGGCCCTCGCCCTATTAGTATATAAACAAAATAAATAATAGAAGTAGATAAAATTGTAACACACGTTTGATACGACACAATCAAAATACTAAAAATACTACAATAGATATCTTTCAGGAAACGGAGTGGTGATACACCTGCCAGGCCTCTTCGAAGAATTGGAGAGCAACGAAGCGAAAGGTTTGAAAAACTGGCAAGAACGATTAGTAATATCCGATCGTGCGCACATGGTCTTTGATTTTCACCAGCAAGTCGATGGTCTACAAGAATTGGAAAAAGGTACGCAATCACTTGGCACTACTAAGAAAGGAATTGGACCAACGTACTCGAGCAAAGCGGCTAGAAATGGACTTAGAATTGGCGATCTTCTTGGAAACTTTGATAAGTTCTCGCAAAAGTTCGAATCGCTGGTGTCGTCGTATCAAAAAATGTTCCCCGCGCTACAGGTTGACGTGAAAGCTGAGCTTCAACGGTACAAAGAGTGCGTATTTTCACATTTATTATCTCGAACAGAACCTAGTATTAATCTGTAATAAAAGAACAAAAGAAATAACAACCGTTAAATTCTTTTAGTATTAATATTTAAATGAAAATTGAATTATTCACTTTATTCTTGAGAAGAAGTAAATACGGGAATTAATACTTCTATGATACAATACACCTGACCCTCGATTTACGCGAAAATCCGTTCCACGCGGGTTCGTTTTACGCGAAGGAAAATCGCGTAAATAGAGCCTGTCGGTTCAAGAGAAAAAATTCATATTTGCTAAGAAACATTACAAAACAAAATTTGTATGTATTCCATAGAAAATTTTTATATTGTCTATAAATATAAATGTCATTCTATAAATTTGAAGAACAGAATAAGAAGGTTTTGTTTAAATGTAATCTTTTGAACAATCAAATCATAATCTCTTCCTTCTGTTTGCAGATATGCGGAAAGGATACGACCGTTAGTCAAAGAAACTGTTCAGTATTTACATCAAGCATTACGCGAAGGAAAGAAAGTTATAGTAGAGGGTGCAAACGCTGCAATGCTGGACATTGACTTTGGGACGTATCCGTATGTCACCAGCTCCAACTGTAGTATAGGTGGAGTATGCACTGGTCTCGGACTTCCACCTTCTTATATAGGAGAGGTCATCGGGGTTGTTAAAGCATACACAACAAGGGTGGGTGACGGACCATTCCCCACTGAACTTTCAGACACCACAGGTGATCTTTTACAGAAAAGAGGTCACGAATATGGAGTCACCACTAACAGAAAGAGACGGTGTGGTTGGTTAGATTTAACCCTTCTAAAATTCACTGCAATGGTGAATGGGTAAGGAATATTTATCATTTTTTATACTTAACCCTTTCCACTCGGCTGGCTCTGCTATAGAGACATAATTTCACAGATATATGATTCATTTCAAATTGTAAAATTCTTCTTTTTATTGGAATACAAATTGACAAAAGAAATTTTTAAAATCCAGGAATACCTGTAATTTTCCTTTTCCGAAGCGAAATTTGAGGTTCTTGAAAGTTCCTCTATAGAAATGAACTATTAATGTCTTGAAAATTTTGGGAGTGCAAGGGGTTAAACTTATATATAATACCATGGTTTCCAACCTGGGAGGCGCCAGAATTTTTAATAAAAAATGAATGTTCCTACCATAATACCTAGAAATAAATAAACTTCATATTGTAACGTAATAGTACAAATTCAGGGAAGTAATGTTTATTTTGTAATAAAGTTATTATTATTTAAAACGTGTCTATATTATTGTATCTATCAAAAGATAGGGAGGCGCAGGAAAAAAAATTTTTTTAGAAAGGCGTACTAGCATAAAGGTTGGAAACGGTTGATATAATAGGGTACATTAATAGAGATGAATATTAAAAGATAATGTAAGTTAAAAATATTACTGACTTTTTTTTATTTGTTCTAGATATACGTCTATATGTTTGACTAAATTAGATATATTAGATACCCTACCAAAAATTCAAATTGGTGTAGGATATCGATTGAATGGAAAGGAAATTGATTATTTTCCAAGTAGTACTTCTGATTTAGCAAAAGTAGAGGTAATTTATGAAAGTATCGATGGCTGGCAGTCAACTACAGAAGGTGTACGTTCATTAGAAAAACTGCCTTCTAATGCTAGAAAATACATACAATTAATAGAGGAACATCTTGGTATACCAGGTAATATTTTATGAAATATTGTTTATCAATTTGCTTAGATAATTTTATACAGTGTTCAATAGAATTTGACAATTATATTTATCATGCTATTCTGCAATGGTAGATTTACACGACTTTAGAAATGACAATATTAATTTCAGTTAAATGGATTGGCGTAGGCGCAGGTCGAGAAAGTGTAATTACACTTTGACGTTACACTTATCAATTACTGCAATGGAAATGTGTTTGTCCGTTTATTCAGTTCGCTACTCGTTTGGCGATAAATTTAATTTGTTAAAGGAAATGATAAAATAAGCGCACAGGGCTACACGACAAAGAGAATCATAGCATTAAGCTTTTGAATTTAGTAGTATTGAATAATTGAAGAACTAATCTTGAAGTCTCATTTCTTTGAGCTCCTCCATACTGGATAATTCATGTAAATCATGTTATCCATTGTTTGAATGTAAAATAAGATATGTTAATTAAAATATATTTATTTGAAAATTCTTTTACATAATACCTAATCCTTGTTATTGTCCTCAAGTAAGTAAGGAGTATTTTCTAATAATTTAAGTATACATGTGTAGTTTATATTGTTAAGTACAAGATAAATTAAAATAATATATATCCAAATATATATGTAATAAATCATCGAACGATAAAATTGAATTCATTAGTAAAGTATTTTCCTTCTTAAGTAATAAATGATTTCATCATTAAGATTAAATTTCTAAACCATAAAAATATTTCATATTTGACTATCATAATAGTTCCTATTCAGGTTATGTTTTATCAGATAAATGACAAACTTCACAGTTACGTAGCTGTGTGGTAAGATAGGTATGACGACTTAATCAGCTGGACGTTTTAAATTTCAATTAATGTAGAATGTCTGCTATAAATCGTGAATGCAATACAATTAATTACCTATTGCAATTTTGATTGTTTACAATTCACCAAAAATACTTTTATTAGACATATTTTTTTTGTACATAAGTGCATTGTTCAGTTCTGTTTTCGTCATTATTTATTAACCTATGTTTAATAAGTGTGCAATCATTTAAAATGTTTATCATTTCATCATAGTAAATGTAAAAGGTTTAACTATAAATAATTATAAGTTTACGAGGTGACATGTATTTATTCAAGAACGAATACGAGAAAAAAGACACATGGTAAGTGCATCTAATACGTAACGTGATGTACACACATTTTTCAATTTATATCTTAATTACTTGAAAAAATATAAAATCATTTTTTTGCACGAATTATATGAAATATGGATTAAGCTGTCATAAAAAGTAAGGTTAAATTCTCCTGAGATGAAAACTCTATTCTTTGTTGTCAATGTCTGTTTTTGTCTGAACATAGTAAGTTCTTATTCAAACGAGCACAGTTGAACCATTTTCACTTTGATAATTGGAAATATAACTGTATAAGTACGTATAAAATTCATCATTTGAATATCTTTAAAGAACTAATACAATTCTGTATAACATTTGTACATAAATACATTAATATAAATAACATAGCAAACTCACTGTATGCTTTTAACTAAATGCTTTTCTAAACTGAAGTGTTCTTTTTCATTCATGATATTATGAAAATATATTACTTAATTTCTACTGACTAATATCTAATAATAATTTTATATTAAATAATAATAAATTAAACAAAATAAATTTATATGGTTGAATAATTTCATCTATATTTACATGTTTTAAAAATGGCAATTAATATTCTTTTCAATGTTAATTATCTCATTTTATTTTTCTCATATAACAGGCCTGCATAACTTGTCGCTCTTGGGAGCAATTGTCAGCAAGTAAGAATTAAGAATATTTAGTGGCACGTGAGATATATTTTTAATAGCACTGGTTCTATAGTAGAATAATTTGAAGATATAATTACAAACCCATTGTAATATATAAATTTATTCACACTTATTCTACCGTTACTTTACTTAATACTAGATACATTATTAGGTTGTGTAATATAAAATGTATATGACATCCTTTGCAGAAGAACTCAGGTTGTAACCATTTGAAGAACATGGAAAAGATTAAAAAAACCCAATAAATGGGTTCCACATAAACTGAATGATCAACAAATCCAACAGTTCATATTACACGACCTAATATTTAATCATAATTTGGCTCTTTCCTCTAGTTTGAGATGATTTGCTCTTGCTTATAATAATCTCAATTGTGCAGGCCTGCCATATAATACATTCACTGCACCAATTGAGCTGTGTAATCTAAAAGTTATATTTAGGTACATCTTATAATTTCACTGTTACTACAAAAATAATGTTTAAGTATTTCTTAAAGTACATATTTGAGCATGTGGCAATTATTATTTTAAAAGCATGGCAATTAGCAGCATGATATAACACTATATAATTAATACCACTTATACCACTATTAATATATTTGTATTATTTCTATATAAATGTCACTCATAAGGATGTTTTTAAACTTTTAGAGTAAAAAATGCCAGGAGAACCATCTATAACAACTGGAAATAAATCTTCTGGAAAAATTAAACGAATTTCTATTCCAAGAGTTCAAAGTAGTACAGATACAGAATTGCAGTCACAAAGTGGTTCGACTCCACTACAACCAAATGCACATCATTATGCTGCATTTCGTATAGACTCAGATGACAGTACATTGCCCCCAGCTGTACGATGTCGGTTATTAGATTTGTTTCAGCAGATAGAGAAGGAATTTGAAATTCTTTATTCAGAAAATTTGGCATGTATGAATCTTTTTTTATAATAACAAAATAGTTGTACTATCTATGTATGGAACATATATTTTCTCATAAATTTTTCTATTATTCTACTAAATATATATTTTTCTTAAAAAACTTGTTAACATAATATTATTTAATATAGTGCAAGAGAAAATTGATACTCTTAATGAAAAGGTTGAAAGAGAATGTTATGGTTCTGGAGAACGAAGCTTACCTATTGGGGATGTTGCAGATTTCCCAGATACAAAAAGTCTTTCAAAACAAAAATGTAAGAATGTTAATAAATCTATATAAACAGATACAGTGATGGAATTACAACCTCTCAACTATTCATTTGTGTTATAGCCATGGCAGGAAATTCAACACAGAAAACGAAGACAACTTCTAACAAGTTGAAAGCGCAAACAAGTAAAATAGTTTCTAGTTTTAAAACACCGACTATGACATGTAGTATGCAAAGGGAATATTCTGGTCATCGAGATGGTGTTTGGGAAGTTTCTGTTGGAAGATTAGGACAAATTATTGCTACAGCTTCTGCTGATCATACCGCTCGAGTGTGGGCTGTAGATAGTGGACGCTGTCTTCTACAATATATAGGTTTGTCAAAATATACAATGTCTATGATTCTCGCCGAAAAAGGTAAATGTGATTTTTATCATTTGCATAACTTTTAATTTCATTTTTTAGGCCATTCTGGTTCTGTTAACTCAGTGCGCTTTCATCCAACCAAAGAATTAGCATTAACATCCAGTGGGGATAATTCAGCTCATGTATGGCAGGCAGCTGTTGATTGGGACTTTCCTAAAAGGCAGAATTCAAGTGAAGACCTTTCAGCATTAAGTTCTGATAAAAATATTAGCGGTGTGATTCCTATAAATGAGGAACAGGAAGAACCACCAACTTTGAGGTAATTACTAATATATTTCATTATAATGTTAATAGAACATAAGTTTATTATTAATATTTAAAGAACAGGAAGGAGATAGATGTATTATAATAAAGATTGTATAGAACTGAAGCTTAATATTGACTTTAAACACTATAGAACTCCAGTACGAGAATTGCTAGGTCACACAGATGTGGTGATGGCCGCAGACTGGTTACCTGATGCAGAACAGGTTGTAACAGCTTCTTGGGATAGAACAGCAAATCTGTATGACGTAGAAACTGGAGATATTATACACACGTTATATGGTCATGATCAAGAACTGTCTCATGTTTCTACTCATCATACACAAAGGCTCTGTGTTACTTCAAGCAAGGATAGTACTTTTCGTTTATGGGACTTTAGGGAACCTATTCACTCAGTTTCTGTCTTTCAAGCACACACAGAGTGAGTTAAACGTGTTTACATTTCATAAAACTAATTATACATCTTTTTTAAAAATTGCCTTTTCCAACAAAAGGTTATAGATTTCATTTATAGATTTCAAAAATATAAGGCAAAGAAAATCGGGTATATCGGCTAAGAAGTTATCGCGTTTTGGAATATTTTGTATTTATTGTCATAAATTGTTATTTATATATTTATATATGGATTTCAAATCTTACATATTTTGACTGCTCTTTTTATTTTAGGACGGTAACATCTGCCGTCTTTACACGCGAAGATAAAATCGTTTCCGGTTCGGACGATCGGACTGTAAAAATATGGGAATTACGAAATATACGAAGTCCTTTAGCTACGATTCGAGGTGATAGCGCTGCAAATCGCTTAGCTGTTTCTAGTACTGGCATTGTGGCAATTCCACACGATGACAGACAGATTAGACTGTTCGATTTAGGTGGTCAAAGATTGGCTAGATTACCTAGAACGAGTAGGCAGGTTAGTAAATAACTTTATGGAATTATTTACATAATTATGTTGAAAAGTATTTGGTTTTACATGTTAATTAATTATTTAATTAATTCAATTAAATCAAAGTACAATATATTATTGCTAAAGTAACTACTACCTGAATGTATCGACGTATAAAAGTAGGAACAGCTGCAAACACTTAAGTTTTTTGTTAAATTAATTTCAGGGACACCGGAGAATGGTATCGTCGGTAGCTTGGACTCAAGATAATGGAGTCTGTAATTTGTTTTCTTCTGGTTTCGACAGACTAGTCCTTGGGTGGAGTATTGTACACCTCAAGGAATATTGAGGATATATATATATGTATTTAAAAAACAAATAGGAGTCAAATGTTTCAGTGTTTTAAACTAAATAACAGTATAAAATAAATTCTGTTGAATGTATATTATTAATAGATTAGTCTCAAATTTCGAATGTTGTAGGGAAAAAATTAGATGCACAGTTATACACCAACGTTCCCATCCCAAGAATTATTGCAGATTCCATTTTCCCACTGTCGGATACCACTGCAATTAGATAATGTATAAATCAGTGAAATGAAATTATAAACACAGTGTAATAGTTGTAATAAATTATAAATACACGTTAAACTTTTATAAATGTTATTAATATCTGGCTCCTACATTCATATGTTCAACTATTTCCAAACTTAACACTAGATATACTGAAATTTACTGTACAGTTTATTCTATTGTACTTAGAAAAATTGTTATCCATTCATTTAGATCTTAAAAATTAAAGGGTTAAGAGTAGACAATTAGAATACATATTTGTGTAACTGCGTTAATAAAAATCGACCGCAATATTTACCAAGTAATGTTTATAAAATTCAATATGAGTCAGATCGACTCGTTCCATAAATCTAGTGTTAATAGTTTCTTACCTGAATAAGCGGTGAGTAAGCTCAGAAGAGTATATCCCATAATGAGAAAATAATGGGGCGCCGAGAATATGTGTCCCCACGTTATTTCTAACAATCCTAACAATTTACATGATCCACCTATCACCAAAGCTTTCCACAAATGCGTCGTGCTTTCCTTATCGGGGCACTTCGGGCGAAAATACCATTTCAGTTTTGTAAGAAGTACTACAACGATGACGAAAGCAACAAAAGAAAACGCGGTTCGAAGTAGGACTAAATAAAAATTGCAATGTCCGTCGAATGTAGGCTGCATCGTCTTCGAAGTTTCAATATTTGTCGACCTGTAATCGCACAGAGAAAGATTTCGGAAAGACTCGACGAGCCAAATGATTATTATTAGTTTCCAATAATGTTTCAAATTGCAATTGTAGAGGAAATGCCTGTATGCACGTTTGTCGAGTAATATTAGGTCAACCAGAATTATCACAGGATCATACTCGATGTACTTGTCAGCCAAGTAGCCACAGTTGTCCTGAAATAATTAATAACATGTTTCCTTGTATGTAGTATTTATAATTAGAAAAAATCTAATTACGACTGTGGACAGATAGTTTAATTTAAATACTTTTACTGATGCAAATAAGAACAAAGCAGCTTTAAATATGTATCTCTTGTTGCAACAAATATTTAATTTCTTTGTTTATTACTTACTATCAATATCGATAATATTCTGTGGAAATAATATAATTTGAAATCTACTTAAGTAACTTAAATTAAATTGCTCTATTTTTACTATGCAAAGGTATTTAAGAATTAATCAAGTAAAATGTTTCATGAACTTTAACAGTGTTTTGCATTATATAACTGACATTTAGAAAGAGTCAAGAAGTTCTTATTTGATTCTGGTATATTGCAGTAACTTGATTATTTCAATTTCATCTGCCATCTGATCATTAATAACGTACTAATTTATATTAATATATTCAGTGTAGGGAAAAAGGGTTAAGGATTTACGGCGGACATAATGTATTTCCTATAATTGGATAATAATGTTTAAAAATGTTGAACATATAAGTAAATGGAAGAAACGTATGTATGTTTAAAAAAATCCTCAATCCTTTTTTAATACTTTGTATCTATATATAAATAAATTAGTGTAATAGATGTCATACGCATTCTAACAGTTTTAAAACGTTCTCGCAGTAACTCCTATAAAGTTCTTCTATTTTAGCTCCACAATTTACACAACGATACATTATCGAATGTTTAATTCCTGCTATCAGTTATTATCGCATATCTTTTCCAAATAACTTTCATTTTTAATATCAAGCATCTCCTAAAATAATAAAATTATATAGATATTATTACATGAAATATATTTTATTTTATCAAGTAAATAAGACATATATGATATTGTAACAAATATTCTTAATAATTATAATTATATATTCTTAAATTATAATAATAAGGTTTTATCTTTTATACAGTAAGTTTCATTGTATCGTATTTTTATTGTGTCTACGTACTCGATACTAAATAACTAATACGTGACGATAGTACGTAACAATTTTTTTCTTTTGTTGCGCGACATACATATTTCAATGTTAAATGTATGCAAAATATCTAGGTATATGTATTTAATTAAATAATACAGTAAAAACCGATGTTTCCGTAATTTTGGTATTTAAAGACTTCTACGCGAGAAACCTTGAACATGCTTCGAAGAAACCAGGAACTGTCCTAATTATCGAATTCTTCAAGGATGGAAGTAAACTCGAAGTGAAAGTGCACTCGGACCGTTTCCCTTGCCTGCTTGAGCTTCACCGCTTGATATGTCGATTTAGTCGGCTCTAGGTAGTTCTATCGAACGGTAATAATGGAGAATTCGATCTTGCTCTCGAACGGGAAGTATATGCCTGCGTTGGGATTTGGTACGTGGCAGGTAAGACTACATACTTTGATTAAGGACTACATTAATGCATTGTTTACAATATACAGCTGTTTTCTCATAATAACTAAGTCACTGCAAAGATTTTCATCTTACATAAGTGAACTTAGAAAAACTGGAATTAACTAAAAGTTCATTTCTTCCAGTAGCAGAGTTGGTAGATTTGAACAATACATGACACTTGTTTAAACTTTATTGTATTCTATATTGTATATAGTATATATTGTATATTGTGTTCTATTGTTTTGTTGCATTTAAATTGTAGAAACTGAACAGAGTTTCATCTATTCACTGAAAGATTTCAGGACATCATTGAAGACTTTAGGGGAGACTTTATTTATTATTGTATGGACTATACACGTAAATTGTTTGTTTAAATTAATTTTATAAGATCAGTTTATCTTTCCTTATCCTCCAGATCGTCTTCATCATTATCTTTATTCCCTTAAAAGATCTGCAGTTAGTATATCTTATGTTATACATTTTATGATAATTTTATTATCAGTGTTATGTAGTTTATGAAATGCTTTTATCTTGACTATTACAGCATGATTACACTCCTTTCATTTATTGGAATTTTAGTAGCTCTAAGGAAACTGCTGCAAAATTCTCTGTGACTTTGAAAAAAAGGTTTAAAACGTTAATGCCATACGGGTCACCGGTGACCCACGACCAAATTGAATTACTATAATTAACTTAATTATACGACGATTATTTGGCAAAGTGGAACAATAATAACGCAATTCAATCGAATGATTTAATATTCTATTTTTTATATTATATTACATTTTTTTAATTCTGTGTGTTTTACTCTATTGAATTGTGCAGCATTCAACGTGTTAAAATTTGTTATGACACCATCGTATTCCATTCACCGCGGGTAAAATGGAACACGTCGTTTTCTTTAATAAAAGTAAAATGCCTCTATCATGCACAATTTTTCATGATTATGAAAATGTCGCCATGAAGCGGCGACTCGATCGATAAACAACATCGATTATATTTTCCCAAAGGAAAGTGGCGTAAGTCCATTTTGAAAAAAAATCAAATTAATCGTTATAATAATTACATTATAATAGTTACTAAATAGTGACTATTTATCTCTGAAATGAGTAGAATATGATAGCGCAATATAAAATTTTAATCCATTTTCTTAAAGTCAGGGAATTTTACGGCAGCTCCTTCACATCAAATTTCATCGAATTGAAGGTGTAGAATGATGCTGTATAATAGTCAGGACAAAATATTTCTTCCCACCCCGTACATATTCTCATTTTGTTTCCTTCAGATTTTATTAGTTATTGTCCTTTCTTTCCTTTAAATCTGTTGTTACATAATGTTATTATGAGTCTAATCTAATTGATAAGTTTCTTGTAATGCATCGATCTTGTATTCTCTTATCATGATACAGTTTATTATGTAAGTTGTCAATGAATTGGTATTAGACTTCTTCTTATCTATCGCACTTAAATTATAAGTATAAGTATATATCTTAGAATAGATGAAAGTAATCAGTTATTTTATGTATTTGTTTATTAATCTTTATTCAATACATACCAAATCTTAAATTCAATTAAATATTTTTATGTTTAATTTCATGTTATTGTTATGCCTTCTAAAAAAACTTCTTAAAATCTAAAGTTTCTTCCTTTCTTATCACTTCAATGAACATATTCAGATGTTTTTGTTTGTCATAACTGTGTTTGTATATGACTATCCAAAATATATGTTCTTGCGCAAAATAAAATATATATTGCTACAACCCTTAATAGACGAATAGAGTTTCTATTCAAGTTCTATGTCCCATATTTATCCAATATCTATTAATTATATATTTTTCAATTATGACTTATATTTTGTCATAAACAGTGTATATTCATAACATAAGCCTTAGTTGAAATGCATTCCTAAACATTCTGTTATCCTAACCTCTTACATCTTTTACCATAAACAATTCAATTATGTTGTTATTCAAGTTGTTTATAAGATTTCTTATAATAATGTGGAAAAACCACGCGACACATTGTAGCGATATATATTAACAAATAACATTACAAAATTCTCTATCTAGACAAGGACGTAAGCACATACAAAACTTTTGAATAAAATTTTAACTTACTTTTTCATTAGTTCGTATTCTACTTTTTAAAAAGACTTGATAATATTTTCAAACACCTTCAATAGTACAAAAGTATTGATAAAATGTCATATTAATCACCGGTATCTATTGTTGTTGCTGTCGTACAGAAACTTGTCTCATGCTGTATAGTAAGTACATGCAGCAAGGTTAAGAACCCGCGAAATTTAAATTTATTGAATCGCGGGAAGTACGAAAGTATATAATAAATAAAATTACCTATTTCTGATGATGCTTTTATTTAATTGCCAGGATTTTCTTATTTTCTTAAATAAATTTTTAATTACTATAAATTCAGTTTTAATAGTCATTAATTATTTCGAAATAGTAACGGCAAACTTTTATACAAGTAGAGTATATAAAATATATGTAATTTCTTTTGTTCAAGGCAACCAATGAAGCTGAATTAGAAAAAGCTTTGAATACTGCTTTAGAAGCTGGATACAGACATATCGACACAGCTGCGGTATACGAAAATGAAAAAATTATTGGTAACGTTTTGAAAAAATGGATTGATTCTGGAAAGGTTAAACGATCCGAGCTTTTCATTGTCACTAAGGTATTACAAACAATTATAAATTAATTCCTTTATATTGTTCTTAATCTTGGTCCGAGCTTTTCATTGTTACTAAGGTATTACAGACAATTAAAAGTTAATTACTTAATATTGTTCTTAATGAATACCTTCTGCCCTCTAAATTATTTATATAATATTTTCAAATCTTAAGAAATATGTCATAAATCATATCCGTCCATTGTGTTTTACCAATTTTCATGAGTTTAAATATTTAAACATTCCTCTGTATTTGAGTTTCCAAGTGACGAAACGTTTCTTCCGATAAATGCATAATTTAGTGGGGACAAGTGTATACAATGTTTATTTCCCTATATTAAGAGGAAATTTTATCAATATATTACGATTAAAGATTAAACAAAAACTTTGTTTCTTTGACCTTTAATGACCTTAACGAGGTTCTTGTTGGAGCTCTATGAAATTTTAAATACAGCAGAAGCATTTCAAATAATCAAGTTAGATAATGCACGGTGTAATATTAGATTAAAAATTCCATAGACAAATTCATGTAAATGTAATACATAATTTTTCCTAAAACGGGCATTCGATTTCTGTTAAATAAATTTTACTAATAAAAATTAGACACTTTGCATTAAGTTAAAATGCTTAATATCTAATTTAATTCAGGAGTTAGTATATTCCTGACAAATAATCTTTATAGCTACCTCCACCTGGAATTAGGCCAGAATCTGTTGAAAAATGGATGAAAGATTCACTGCGAAACCTTCAGATGGAATATGTTGATCTTTATTTAGTTCATTGTCCATTCGCTTTCGCCGATGTTGAAGGGAAGTTGCATCCCTTCGACGAAAATGGTGAAATTATCGTGGACGTTACTACCGATCATGTGAAAGTTTGGTCAGAAATGGAGAAACAAGTGGACTGCGGTCGGGCTCGTGCCATTGGCCTATCGAATTTTAATCCACATCAAATTGAACGTGTTCTAAAGAATGCTCGCATTCCAGTTTCTATGTTACAAATCGAGTTACACGTGTACTTTCAACAAAAAGAGTTGGTAAGTATGCTATATCTTGTTTCAATAAATCTATCTTCAATAACTCGGTTATTGTTTACAAAAATATTCAATCGAAACCACTTAGCGGTCGCCTTGTTGATTATCATTATATTACACGTACAAAAGGTTTTCATTAGCAGTAAAGAAAAAAAAGGAATTATAATAATAATGATGGTTTTTAAGTACGAAATGTTTTGAGAAATCTTTCGATCATTTCAAGGTGTATTGAAGACGTCTACAGTTGGAGCTTCACTGTTTTGGTTCTAGATAATCAAACGATACTGTTCACTGAAATAAAAACCATTTTAACCAATCAGTTTCATAATTTCAGTGAAAATCGTTTAGTGCTCGTCATGCGTTTTCTGCGAGATCGAATATTTCTCTCGAACATTTGCTTCTCATTTACGAATGATTTTGAATATTTTTCCTGAATATTTGTCTTTCATCTACGAATGATACGAATCTTAAATATTTTTTCTCGAACATTAGCTTTTCATTTACGAATGATACGAATCTCGAATATTTTTCTCAAACATTAGTTTCTCATTAACGAATAATACGACTGAATTGCATTACGGTCGAGCGCCGCAACAGGCAGATTAATATAATTCGACGCTCGGTGTCCAAGGATGAATTCAACATGCCCTGTTGTCCATGCTAAATCACCTGTTCACCGAACGAACGAGGAAGAGCGACGACAAGCGAGCATTTACTCGCGTTCTGAAGTGTCACCCGCTTAATGAATGTTTGCATATGTAAGCCGCACGATCTTCCGCTGATTGTATCCTCACTGGAGCTCGTCCTTGCTCGTTCAGTTGGTTCACGTAGCTTGCAATACACGAGTCCTAAATGAAACATTAAAAACACGATTTCACGCGTTCTTCAAAATTGAAACGCAAAATGATATTTCACAGGTGAAATTCTGCAAGGAGAAAGGCATTCCCATAACAGCGTATTCACCGCTCGGTTCACGGGGTTTCGTAAAGGTGATAAACAAAGCGGAGGAAATCCCAGACATGTTGCAAAACGATGTGGTGTTAGAAGTGGCGAAAAAGTACAAAAAAACTGCCGCACAGATTTTATTGCGGTATATTCTGCAAAATGGATTCGCCACCATACCGAAAAGCACGAACCCGCAAAGGATCAAGGAGAATATCCAAGTGTTCGACTGGAGTCTTGCGCCAGAGGATGTAGAAAAACTGAAAGGATTGGACCAAGGAGAGGGCGCCAGAGTTTACGATTTCAGTTTCTTAAAAGGGATTAACAAACATCCTGAATTTCCTTTCTAAATACACCTGACCCTCGATTTACGCGGACTTTTGTCACGCGAGCCTCTTTTTACGCGTTAAATTGGAACACTGTTTACTATCTCAATTTAATAACAGCGAGTAAAATATACTTTCGTTTTCGAAAATGTCGTTATTATTATTTCTTTTATTAAGCTCTGTGAAATAAATCTGCATTTCTAAAACTTCTACCAGCTCTTCTCTTCAATATTTTCTTTTTTCTTGTACCGACAGTCTCTACTCACGCGATTTTCCTTCGCGTAAAACGAACCCACGTGGAACGGATTTTCGCGTAAATCGAGAAGCAGGTATATCCAATTGTTATTAAGTAGTTTATATTCTGTACGCGTACATGGACGATAATTGGATGAAAATGTACCTGTATACAGTCTAGTTTAACACGAGAACTATCGAATGGTAGAATCCGAAATTCCTTTCTCCCAATGATTAACCCTTTGTACTTGGAAGTTCGTCATAAGAAATATTTAACATTTTTTGACGAGACAAAGACGATATTCATTGAAACTAACTCGAAAGGAAAGCAACGTCCAGCGCTGTCCAGCGAGGACCACATAGTAACAAGGACATAAAAAGAGAAGGATCCTTCATATACAGACTAATTGCCACCGTTCGTTACTGTTCGCCGTTGTTTGCCACTGCTTGCCACTGTTCGCCACTGTTCGCCGTCGTTTGCCGCTGCTCCTACTTTTCTCAACTATCCCGTTGCGCTGCGAATTGTACAAGAGCAATAATCGATAGAGCCTTATAATGTTCATAGCATAAACACTAGAACTACCAATCACTTAAACTAACTTTTACAAATTCCTTTATAAAAACCATAAGCTTGCGTTCATTAAAATTTTAACTGAGTTACATTTCAATTTTGCTATTACTGAACTAGTTTCGTTGATAATTTTTCGTAGAGGTATCTGTACCTTTTTAGTAATTGCAAAAGAAGAAATCAGAAATAAGTCATTTTGAGCTATCTGGTAGTTCTAGTGTTACAGCTTTACTTATCGATGAATTTATTGTTTTTCGCTTGTTGTTTATTTGAAATATTATAGTGTTGTTAGACATTACGTTATTCGTTCCATGCAAAGTATGACGATTGTTGTTATTATTATTATTATTATTATTATTATTATTATTATTAGTATTATTAGTATTATTATTATTAGTATTATTAGTATTATTATTTAGAATTATTAGTATTATTATTTAGGATTTTTGAATAAATTTTATTGTACATACTGTTATCGTTTTATGATACCGAGAGCCGAAACGATTAAAACACATGGTTTTCTGAAAACTTCTCTTTTATTGTATCGTTTGCGAACAAAGTCTGATACGCGTACAATACAACTTAAATATTACAGTATATGAACTTGAACTTTCTTTACAAAGTCATGATTGGTACGGACAATCATACATATTTACCGTTGATACTCCCTGACGTTTTCGGGTTGCAGCTATTAAATACTTTTCACAAATGTTCCTCGACGTTTCAACGCTATTCAAGTTCATCGAATAGACACGACGTGCACGTCACAAACGAAGACAGCGCGTAAGTTCTGATTGTAATGTCGAGACGATGGAATACTGTTTTCGAAGGGGCCAAGACAGCGTTAATCCGAAAATATCAAACAGTATCAACTGCAATCTTACTTTATCTTTTTTTATAAACCTCGATTGAAAACCTAGGTACGTTCGCTTATTAAAAAAAGTTACGAAAC